GGTCACCCTCCCGGTGAGTCCGCAGCGAGGCGGCACGAGTACTCGTACGACAGCTAGCTGCCCTTCTTGCATCATCTTCCCTCAGCCAGATCTTGCTCTCTCTCTGAGTCCATGTGCCTCCTCGTCCTTCCAGGACTCGCTCCTGTGCTGACCTACTCCTCTCCCCTCTTCCCGACTGGCCGGATGCATGTCTTGGGATGCTTTTGGGGTCATGTCTCATCGGGATTACATGCACGCATATCTGCTTGAGATCTGCCTGTCTGTCCATCTGTGTTGTCTCTCTAGCCTCCCAGTGTGTGCCTACGTATCCGCCACAAGGTCCGTCCCCTCGCCGATCACATACTGAGGCAGACAGCACATGCATTTGACCCGCACATCAGTCAGGGGAACACGGGACTCTCACTCAGAGCGGACGGCACGAAAGCATGTGTGTGGCTGGCTACCTCTCTCTCTCTCTCTCGGTTGGCTGAGATCAGTTGGTTGTCTGGTGTGTTTGGCTGCGCGTATGGATGGCTGGTATGCTTCGCGTGTGGGTTTGACCGTTACCAGAGAGAGGACATCCGCACCATGACACTTTCGTAACACTGGTGCATCTGCCGTTCTTCTTTTTCCGTTCGCGGGTCTGTCGTTTGGTTGCGAGGGGGGTGGTCTGCGCATGGGTGCTGTCGTCATTGCGTTTGGTGTTGGTTTGGATGGATGTGTATCGGTCTGGATAGGAGCGCGATGCTGTCGATGTGGCTGTGGGGAGGATCAGATCAGCCGCACATGGCGAGCCAGCCTCAGCCAGATCTACCACGAGAGCACCGGACTGTCATTCAACATCGCGTCATCTCTGCTGTCCTTTGCTGTCGTTGCTATTGGGAAACATGCTGGTGGTCGCAGGTTGAGTTTGGTTCGGTGTGCGAACAAGATGACGACTTCTCCGCCCTCTTGTGGAGAAGGACAGGAGATCTCCTGATCGTCGGTCGCAGTTTCACGGTGGTGTTGAGCTCAAGCCTGCCGCTGTAGTTCAAGCGGAGGAAACGGCGCGTGCGCAGCCAAGCGAGGGCGCTGAGCTGTCGCAACCACCCGAGAACAAGCAGCCCCCCAGACAGCCACAGACGACCACACCACAACCCCCACACGCCACGCCCGAGCAGCAGCACGAGGCCACCGAAGAAGAAGAGCAGGGACCGAGCGGGAGCAGCACTTCCCCGACCCTTTTTCCTGCTGATCGCCGCTGCTGCCCGTGGGGTGCTGCTGACTGACGGTGTCGCTGCTGATCGTGCGTGTATTGAGGGACTCGTCTGGCGCTGCGTCGTGTGAGCTGGTGTTGATAACTGAGAGACCTGTGGAACTCGTGTGTATATCGTGAACAAGCGGTTCATCCCATCCTTCCCGTTCGAATCCATCCTTCCTGTTCGAATCCATCCTTCCTGTTCGAACCCATCCTTCCTGTTCAAATCCATCTTCCCGCTCGAACCCATCTTCCCGCTCGAACCCGTCATTCCCGTTCGAATCCATCATCATGTCACGTGCACAGCAACATTCGTCCATGCCGTCACGTGGGCCACCTGACTTGAATGCTGCTGCTCCACCCCGCCTCTCATGCTCGGTATTACGTGCGTCGTGAGGGTCGTTTGCCCGCTTGGGAGAATGAGAGCGAGCTGTCAGACCAAGATGCCCTCCGAGCGTATGAGACCGGGATGGCCTTCAATGACAAGCGTCAGAAGAGGGCAAAGCGGGCCATCACAGCTGCTCCACGACACATGCAGCTCCGCTCGCGCAAGGGACGCCGACCCACCTGAACGGTCACCATACGACTATCTGTCATCAAGCCACCTGTGGTAGTTTGTGTCGAGTGGGTTACCGTGGTATGTTGTTGGTGAAGACCTGTTCGATCTCTGTCGCGCTCAATCTCCGTCATGTTCGATCTCCTTCGTCCTCGAAGTGCCGGTTCGATGCCTATCTGATGCGGGGCATGGTGGACACAGGGACATGTTTGGATGTTCGTCTCCTTGGATGTATCCATCTGATACTCACCGCTCTGATGTCTGGACGCGTATCTCTTCGTTCTCGATGGCCACCAGCATTCCTCGCGACACCTGGAGTGCACAGACCACATGTCGTTTTAAGAGCCATCGCATGGGTGTGCGCCATCCCTCTCGGCGTGTGCCCGTGGTCTACCCTTGCAGTTTTGACTTCCCCTCGTCTTCTCGGTCCACCTGATGCCCTATGTGAAGTCGTTCTTCCTCACTCGGGCCCCCTGCTGACCACTGCCCAGCCGTTTTGACTTTCCCTCGTCTTCTTGGTCCACCTGATGCCCTATCTGCAGTCGTTCTTCCTCACTCTGGCTCCCAGCTGACCATTGCTGAACCGGTCTGGTGTGCCGTCACACGCCCCGCTGGCTGCCCTGCTGCTGTCACTTGCCTACTTTGCCCATGTCGGCCGACTGGAGGCCATTACTGTCGTCCTCGATGTCCCCTGCCGCCTTGCAGTCGTCACCAATAACGCAGCTGGATATCATCTGAAAGAATGCCAGTCAAGGACCTTGCTCAAGTCGGTGCAGAGGGCTTTCCTTCCTTCTTCCTCACTGTGCGTACCTCTGATCCTGATGGTGAAGCCCCCTGTCCGTGCTGAGCGGCTCACTCTGGACTCACAAGTGCCATGGGTCAACTGAAGGCTCTTGGACGTGCCGATCTTTCGTCTTCTCTCGGAAGGACTGCTCTCCCTGCCCATCCCTGGTGTCCGCTGACTGACCAATGACACACAACACCCCAACCGGCTGCAGACGACTCGGACGCCTATCCTGATCTTGCTGCCTTGTCTGTTATGGCCTACTTGCCTTGTCGATATCGGTTTTAATGAGGTCCTTCTCCCTCACCTCTCTGCGCGATGGCGTCGTGCCCTTCTCCCTTGGCCTGACGACTGGAAGTCCCGAGGGACCTGCTACCTCTCTACCTGGTGCTGCTGTCGATGACGCCTTGCTATTGGCGACGGTTTTGCCTTCCTTTCCTCCCTCCTCGCTGCCTTGCCCATCTGCGAGCTGTTGTGGGCCGCCTCCTCCTCTTTCTCGCTCGAATCCATCGCCGAAGCCGTGTGCCTCGCGCTTGACCGGCGGGGTCGTGTTGCGAAGTGCTCATGATGCCCTTCGCCCCTGTCTGTGACCCTGATGAAGGCGCTCGGCTCAGAGAAGTGGACGTGTGTGGACGTGTGTGGACGTGTGTCGGGATGTGATGGACGGATGGATTGGATGCCGTGGACCGTGTGCTGATGGAGAGGATGCCGCCTGGATGAATGGATGAATGGATGGCGCTGGTGCTGATGCTGATGGATGGCAGGCTGAAGGATAGTAGTTGTGTGTAGGCAAGCATGACGACAGGCCGTAGATACGCACAGGGAGAGGCAGCCTGGGAAGGCAGAAGCGCTAGATAAGCCCGCATTGCATGCATGCGTGGGCTTGGGGGCGTAAGACGGGAGATAGCAGCAGTTGGCCGAGCGAGTTAGTGCCGTTGCGTTTCATGATTCGTTGTTGACCCTCCGATATGACTTGACGTCATTCTCTTGAGATCTGTTGCTTCGGCACGGTCTTCGGTCGTTCCGATCACTTCCCTTTGGCAGGGCGTCTTCCCAAGCCGCCTTTGGAGCCGCAGAGTGATGGTGGAGTGCGCATGTGAGTGATGGTGGAGAACGAGTACGTCGTCCTGCGGATCACCCTCTCGGTGCCGGTCACCCTCCCGGTGAGTCCGCAGCGAGGCGGCACGAGTACTCGTACGACAGCTAGCTGCCCTTCTTGCATCATCTTCCCTCAGCCAGATCTTGCTCTCTCTCTGAGTCCATGTGCCTCCTCGTCCTTCCAGGACTCGCTCCTGTGCTGACCTACTCCTCTCCCCTCTTCCCGACTGGCCGGATGCATGTCCTGGGATGCTTTTGGGGTCATGTCTCATCGGGATTACATGCACGCATATCTGCTTGTGATCTGCCTGTCTGTCCGTCTGTGTTGTCTCTCTAGCCTCCCAGTGTGTGCCTACGTATCCGCCACAAGGTCCGTCCCCTCGCCGATCACATACTGAGGCAGACAGCACATGCATTTGACCCGCACATCAGTCAGGGGAACACGGGACTCTCTCTCAGAGCGGACGGCACGAAAGTGTATGTGTGGCTGGCTACCTCTCTCTCTCTCGGTTGGCTGAGATCAGTTGGTCGTCTGGTGTGTTTGGCTGCGCGTATGGGTGGCTGGCATGCTTCGCGTGTGGGTTTGACCGTTGTCAGAGAGAGGACATCCGCACCATGACACTTTTGTAACCCTCAGCCGGCGAGACATGCATCTAAGCTGGGCGGGTGATCTGACCTGCTGTATTCACCTTCTTGTGATGAAGCGTAAGTCCAGAAGTCCACAATAACCACATCCTTCTCAGAGACGCCCCACTCCAGCGTCCCGTAGACGGTCTTCTCGTCTTCCTCGTTACTCATGTCTGCCTGCTTGATGTAGTCTTTGAGCAGCTGGCCCGTCTCGTGGTCGATGAGGATGGAGGGGATGTATACGTTCCTGCCGTAGAGGTCATCAGCCATGATGATATACTGAATGTCCTGCCACGTTGCGCTTGACCCTTTGCTGTCCACCACCACCACTGCCGTCGCCGAATACTCTTCCTGCGCTACCTTGACCTTCGTCACGAACGTACACACGCCTCTGCACCACACAGACACGGGCATAAATTGGGTTTTCGTGAGTGTTTGCCGACTCTGATGTGTGTACGACCTGTCCACCACGATGATGAGATAGTGGAATGCGGTGGGCAGGCTGGCGACGTTGCCATCGAAGGCATCCAGAGCCGGCAGGTCTTTCGTAACGTTGAAGTAGCCGGGCTTGCAGTGCATCGAGCTGACGTCCTCTCTGTAGATAAGACGGCCAACCAGTTTCGTCCCTGATGCGTCGATAGCACACGATGGATTGTTAGCGAGAGGCCCCTTTGCTGTCCTACCATAGTGTGGTGCTCCGAATGTTGCAGTTGTGCCGATGATTATGCCGTCCGGGAAGCGGCGGGTGAGCTGTTCGGCCAACGCACGTGGCGTCGTCACTCTCATCTGGGCAGCTGCCAAGTTAAACGTCAACAAAGACGCCACCAGCAATGTGAGCATGGGTAGCCGAGGCTTAAGGGGTCTTGGACTCATCGTCGTTGTGGCTCCCTTGTATCTGGATTGCAGATCCCCAGCTGATGCTCAGATTCCCGCCAAGACAGATGGATGAGTCCACAGTCAGCGATCGCGCGTTCCCGCAGCTAAGCTCATCTCGTTCTCAAAGCGGCGGATCTCCGGAGCGGTCTCACCTCATCTGCACACATTGACAGCAGAAACTCGCGAGATGAGGGCACATTGGATTCATTGATACGAGATCTGCCACCTGTAACAGCTGCCGTTGGCTGCAAGCTGCTCCAGATGCCAAGCTCGCAGATCTCAGAGAGAGAAAGGGTGATTCCTGTTGCGTGTCGTTTGTTTGGTTGGTTGGTTGGTTATTGTGTTTAACGAGACTCGTGTCTGTAACCCCGGAGGGATCCTGCTGTCTCACGCACTAAACTAGCAGCATGTACATGCAGAGCATGCACACGGCCTGTCTAGCCCTCCCTGCACTGGCACCGGCGGACAAACAGATGGCAACAGAGAGCACCGGCTGCCTTGTAGAAGGTTGACAAACACCGATTCCGGCTACATACATAAGAACGAGCGCTGTCGCCCAGCAAGAGCCATGGCAAGTGTACAGAAGCCAGAAGGGAGAAGTAGAAAAATGAGCGCCCTCTGAGCCACCAAAGCAACAATGAGCCAATCACATGAATACACCACCATATACACACGGGACCCATAGGGAAGGAAGAGAGGAAGACAGCAGAGGGAGAGAGAAGGAAATAGCCAGGCAGGCCATGAGGCCCTGCAACATATGATAGACAATACCTAAGGTGCACTCCATCCCTTCACACAGCACTGAGTCACTACTTGTCCATTGTATCGCTCTCTTCGTGACACAG